CAGTGCATCAGTGCTTCAGAGCCACATCTCATGACCCTAAAGAGACAGTCAGAGAATGTCATTTGTCATTTGGTTAAAAGGAATAATGACTTGGAGAACTGACTAGGAGAAATCTTGTGTGAAGAATAAGTAAAAAGCAGTCCATGATGTCCAAAAAACCCCTCTTAAAGCTGGACAATGATTTCAGATGAAAAGGTCCAGTTATCTATATAAAATAGAATAAAATGCTATACATAATAGAATAAAATGCTATGTTTCGTAAGAAAAATTAAACTTAGTGGTATTGCACATGTGTGGATGCGTGTGTCTGTGTGTGTGTCTGTGTGCGTGTGTATGGTCATCTGTGAAGTCTCTGTTGTTGAGTCTGACAGCAGATGTAAGGAAAGACCAGCGAAATCACTCATTCTGTCACAGTCTACAATTCCTACAAGGAATTAAATTATTATTTTTATTATTTTTAATTTTTATTGTTTGATTCGACTCTGAAAAAGATATAAGATATTCATTACTTAAATTAGGTGACTTTTTTGCTAGAAGTACTCATAGATCAGGGTAAAGTGGCTTAGGAGACAAGAAAACAAATAAACACACACACAAAAACAACAACATTCCTCTTTAAATGATCGGGTACACGGACTGGTCTGAAAATGGGTGAAAAGCAGTCCATGATATCCAAAGGAAAAAACTCTTAAAACTATTTCTCAAGTTCACTTTAAAATATTTCAAGAAAATCTGGCTAACCCTTGGAAACAAAATACAAAGAAATATAAAGAAACGTGGCTCAAAGGCTTTTGCACATCACTGTATGCAATGATCATTGTGTCACTTAAGTTGCACTTTTGTATACAAAAAAATATCATCAGCATTCACTTCTAGAAAGTACAAGCGCGAAATGCATTTTCTTCCTTTTGTCAACATTACTGAAAGTTGTAGTGACAGCCGTCGTGGAAAGACGTTACTTTTATTTTGAAATCAAAAATACTTGAACCTGATTGGTGCCTTTCGACGTGACGTCAGGACAGGAAATAGCCACGCAAGCCACTGGAATCATAATATTGCATTTGAAGAGTCTTTACTAACCCTGACATCATGGTTTTAGCTTTTTAATTTCGCTTTTTCTGATGACGGTTATTTCCGTTTATCTCGGAGAAGCGGAAGTTAGAGAAAAACTAAACTATATTTGAGCGCACTGCTAGCGAAACATGTCATTGGCCGCCGCGAAAGCAGCAACAGCAGCAACTAGCGATAGCTAGCAAATGGCTGCTTGGCTGTGATGTTTGTCACTGAGCGAAGTAAGTGTACCACTTTTTTTTTTTTACACAGTATCTATTTTAAAATGTGTTTAATTCGCAGTAGTACTCATGCATTTATCCAGCAATAAATAATAGTGGCTGGAAATGAGGCGCAAAAGCAGCTAAATAACGGCCTGGCAGCTAAGAGGTTTCTTCTCATCACCCTAACTTGTGTTTTTGTGTGTTTTCCAGATGACAAGACGACGAGCAAAATAGTTGTGAAGGTGCTGGGGGCTTGTGTCCTGTACAGGGAAACTGTTAGTTAACAGTATGTGACACATTAGCACTCTGCTGACTAAAAAAAGGGGGGCGGGAGTTGGTTTAAATCAAGATGCCTCGTCTGGAAGTGTTGGCCAACGTTGCTCTCAGGGTGCCGAGCATACTGGTGCTAGACCTGCTCTACAAATGTGACATTGAAGGTGTAACGGAGCACCTCAAGGCAAAAAATGAAGACATGCTCTTCAAATACAAGTATGTCATCTGGAACATGTATTACATTGGTAAGTTTCATCA